GCCATTCTCTATCTATTATTTTTAGACAAGCGGATATATTAATATATCAAGTATGATTGATTTAACAAGCTCATTCAAAGCCATTAGAGATAAGAATGATTAAAAAACTGGATTAAATGAAAGAAGTTTGATTAATGATTCTACCAAGAATAACTTTACAAAGTATTTATACTTGATTAAATAAACAGATCTTGAAATCTACTTAACTGAAAGAAAAGATTTAAGAACTATATTAGGAATTATATAATTTTTAAGCTTGGATGAGAAGTGCATCATTTTGATAGATGTGGTTATTAGATACCCATGTTCAAAATTCGACTCTGGTTTCGCTAATTTCAAGCCATTTTCTCTAAAATATGAGTGAAGTGTCAAATATTCTTGCATTTGAATATAGAATTCAGAATATTAACTGTAGTATAACCTGTTTTCTTCATTTCCTGATAATTCAATTCTTTTCTGGTGAATCTTATATTTTAAAATTAGTCCCACATGTGATATTTTGTAAGCCGAAGGCTAGTGGAGCATGAGAAAATGAGGTACAGTGAAGCATGTATATCTGAACACCTCTCTAATATGGACACTTATCAACGAGAACACTTTCTCTTGTTCTCAATTTATCATCTCCCATAGACTCACAGTGTTTTCAGTAGGTATGTCCAAGATTGCGTCCCTGGGACGTAACGATTTTCAAAAAATGTGTCTCCCCTCAAAAAACTGCGTCCCTGAAATCAACTTCAGGGAAGCAAACTTCGAAAGAAAATTTTATTTCTTTTAGAAATAGAATTTCCTTCAATCATTTAGTGGATTCACGAAGTGATTTACGAAATTCAACTTGCGTCCCAAACACATAATTATTTTTTTATTTTATGTCCACCCAATCTTGGTTTAAGTCCTCTCCATTGAAGGACGCCGTTAATGAAATCACTGACTCATATAAGAAAACCTTAAAATGTAAGCACCTGCTAATTTAAACACTTTTGGCTGATAACAGAGGTGTTCAAATTAGACAGGTTTTGCTGTATGTATGGACTTCATTTCCATTCGGTAAAGCATATTAGCTTCCAACCCTTTATCTCCATCAGCTAGCAATTCTATACTCTGACTAATACAGTTAATTTTACAGTTTGGTTGCTGATCTTCACAAACTCAAAGGTAGCTTTGGTGGTCTTAATGTTAAAATAAACATTTATTCATATTTTCATAATGTCAGAACTTTATATTCTTATAAGACATTCATTGCATCATGATAACCATACGCCCTTTGTCTCGATCTTTCCAAAGTGTCTCTCGCAAACGACAGAAAAGAAGGAGTCTGGTAAACAAGAATGCATTCATTGACTCAATGAGAGAATTGTCTCGTTTAAAGAGTGACGATGAAGGCAGACTTTTTCAAAGGATACTTAACATGTAAAGTGGAGCAGAAGAGATGAACAAGAAGCTAATTAAGCAAAAACAGTCTACCACTGAGCCTCTGTCTCTTTGTTTCATTTGGTAACCCCAACAGGATTTGAAGATCCTAGTGGAAGGGCAATTTATCTTAACAATTCCAATTCCCAAAAAGGTCATAATGGTATGGTTCGATAAAACAAAACAAGCCAATACATGAATGAAACTATGTCACATATTTCATTACTATATGTACTCATTCTTTAATATAAAACTTGACTTTCAACACCTAAACAAACTAAAATCTTAGGAACTAATTGAAAATCTCTAATCTGATTAAATATTAACTCTGATTGATCAAGCAAATATTTACAAATGCATACATTATAAAGATCAAAACATTTTACACTTGTTAATAAAATGTCACGTTTAAGGTAGGCTGCAAATTTGGTGAAAGTAACACCTACAAATCATTGTGACAAAAAGCATCATATCCAAAAGAACACATGTGTAACTTAAATATCAAATACAGTTCCTGAAATATAACCATAGATATTTTGAAAAAATCTATTTTTCAGATTATAAAGTGGAAATTCTAAATAATTAATTACTGATGACATCATGCACAAACAGGCTAAAATTTATTGAACAAGGCCTACCTTAATATACAGGACGTATTAATTAAGTTTCTATTAAATTTTACATACTTTTAGTTTTAAGTCAGTTCTTGAAATGTTTATGCCTTGAGATATCATTCAATTCACTTATCAGGCCCATAGCCTGGGGGAGGGGTTGTTGGGTTTTAGCGAAATCATGCAGTTTTTCACCATTCTGAGCACTTTTCGAGTGATTTTTTAGCCAAAAGCCAAGGTCGCTAAAAGTGAACCTCCTGGAATTTCTTGAAAAATGTTCTCCCTTGGCAAAAGCTAGCCAGGGGCTTACTTAACTTATAAATTACCTCTTTCCATATATAATTTACATTAATCTTGAATGTTATATAAAACAGACTGACAGAAATATCATACCAAAATAAAGTGTAACATGTTCTAATAATGTTCCACAGGCTTACTTTCAATTTATAACATAAATAGTTTACCAAAATAGATGTAAGATGCTCACAGCATTTTATAAACATTGTTTAAACATATCTTGGAGAATAACTTTCTAAGAATATCCGGAGACAATAACTTCAAAAGAGGAAATGTGTTATCAGTTTACACTACACACCTACACAACACCCACTTAACCACACTTAATAGTTTACTCCCTTATTTAATCTTAGACATTTACAACACTCCCCCTTCTTTCTCTTTTTGAGGTTAACTTGTTGCATCTAATTAAATTAATTGAAGGCACTCCAATTTTTGGGGGAAATAGGAGAAGAATCAATGTCATTTTTCTTGAAAAATCAGTATTTCCTGGAAGTGAGCTCTAACTAGATTTACCAAAGGAAGACAATGCAAAGGTACTTTTCTGCAACATTAAGGAAATACATTCATGTCTCCATACTTTATTTTATACCAGAAAATGGGCAGGTATCCGATAGCAATTATTTTAAAGATGTCTATATCCTTAGTGAATATATTATTTGCTTGTTGATCTTTCTTTGTTGTTCAAAAATATGAAAGTATATAATATAGCTAATTCTTCAGAACTGGTCTTGGATCAAGCTCTATTATCCCTCCATTATCTCTTATACAGGATCTGGGTCGGGAAGGGGAAAGAGGGGACCAGATACTTGATGCAAGAGTAATTCCTCAATACTTTTCAGTCAAGGGTGGGAAGAGTGAAATAATTTTTATTCCAAGATAATCAGGACATTGGTTTCAATTACTCCCTATATTGCAATACCTTTTGTAAAAGTATTTTTTATACCTTTAAGAATAAGAGGCAAGCTATTTGCCATGTTGAGCTCAAATTTGGGATAGATTTAGCAAGCTGAACTGTAGTATGCCTATGTGATCTATCTAATAACCATGTAGTACTGAATTGAGCCTAGAGCAATAAAATTGACATTTTATAAGATGACATTTGAAAAGGAGGCTATAAAATATTCAACCATAATAAAGTAACAGTTTTTCGACAACAGTTAACATTTCAAAAAATTCTTTTTTCAAATATTTGTTCAATAAGTTGAATTGATTAGACTAAATTTTGGCAGGTTTGCAAAAATGATAAATAAAAATGGTGGGCTCACTATTAAAAAGCTAATTTCTTCAAAGCAAAGAAAAAGCAGGAGCAGGGACAAATATATAACTTATCAGCATAGACCCCAAAAAATTATCATCATTTGTCCAGATGAAATTTGTAGATTAGGTGGTTGGTAGGTGAGTAGGATGGATGGATAGATGGATGGAGAGACGAAAAGACATATGGATGGAGAGACAGAAAGACAGATGGATGGACTGACAGACAGACAGACGGAGGGACGGACGGACGGATAAGAGCCTGATTCCATATAGTCCTACCAAATGAGCAAAAAATTGACTAGATAAATTCATGCATTCACCTTGCAGTTTTAAGTTTTCCTGTTTCTACACTTACAAGAGGCCACCGCCACCTTGATATTTCTTTGGGTGTGCAGCAATCTAATATAATATAATAACTGCCATCCTGATTCAACTGGAAACATGTTCTAACATTAAAATGCTTATTATGATTGAAGAAATAACAACTGATGTTATCGACCATGATGGTAATCATATATGTATTGCCCCAATACACATACAGCCATACCAAAACCTGTATAGTACAACACCTCTACTATACTATAATAATGAAACATCTCTATAAGTAGAACACTTTTCAGTGTCCCATGACCAAATGATTTAATGTTGAGTGAACCTCTGTAAGTGAAACATTTCACAAGAAGAACACTTTGAATTTACAAAATGTGTTTCACTTTACAGGTTTTACTGTGTAACTGTTTATGACACACAAATGAATGTAATTATATTCTACAATAATGCATTGATGTTATAAAGACACAAGCAATATAATCTCTACAAGTTTTGAAGATCTTTTTTATGCAAACATATTCAATGCAAATAGCCGTCTACTATTGAATCAAAACGAAAAACAAGAGTGGATTGAGAGTCGGTTTCAGTTCTATTCCAGGCCCCTCTGATTTTCGCTGAATTCTCCTCATTGAAACAATGCATTTGTCAATCAGCAGTAACCTGCAGGAATAAACATGGTGTTATCTGACTCGAACTGAGACTGGGAGTGAGTGACAACTGAGGTTTGAAATGAAAAGCAGAAAATAAATTCAACAAAACTTACCATTTCCGATGACAGCCATTCTGAGCAACAGCAACAGCTAAACGTAATATAATCCTTTTATGTGTTTAGTTTTAATAGTTGACAACTCTTTCTGAATAGTTTGGGTATCTTAAGTCCATCTTTATATGAGGAAATTAAAAGTTTTAGGAGAGAAAATTCTTCAAAACTTTTTGACACTTTGCGTCTTTCATGACAAGCAAGGCATACCATTTAGAAGTCAGTAAATATTTTATATTCAAGTACCATGTAAGTATTAAACTGTCACAAATCAATCAAACATCGGTGCATTGCGTAAGAAACAAAACGAATGGGAATTTGTATTTAACGCAGCAATGAGGATATCTGAATGCAGTAAAAGTATGATGTCTGTCTTGATAGCAGACGAAAGTATAAATGTCAAACTAGACTTAGACTCTTTTGTATATTACACTCTTGATATACAAGAACATCGGCCAAGATAAGTAATTAGAATTTATTTTTGTTTCATAAAATCAAATAAACTTGAATTTCGGCATGTATGAATTGATTTCCCTAAGTAAACTTTACTAATTCGCTCGATCTTTTCCATACAAGTTTTAAATTTAGATCCATATCCGGTTTGGCGGCATTTTTATTTTTTCAGATTATTTTACTAGAAATAACAAATTAAGAGGAATATCGTGCTACAAAAGAGTCCAGGTTTGTGAAATATTGTGTTACTACGGTATATCCTATGATTTATTTTGTTCTGAATATACTAGCCTAGGTTTGGATTGAGATTTGAACAAGTCACATGATTCTGGTCAAGTCAAGAATTTTTGAATGAAGTTGGAAATCCGACGAGTTCGGAGCTGAGAGTAAGCCCGCATCGCACATGTACTTTCAAAGCTGATATATGCATGTACCTGGAAGTAGTAGTTCGGTGACAGTTGTCATTTGTGGTTCTCTTTATAGTGAAATAAATATGAAAAATTGAGGTGTCCATCCGATTTTTTGACCAAGGTATTCTGTTTCGAACCAAGGTGTCCACAATTTGAAGGAAGGTGTTCAACATTTGTAAGTCACTCATGTTAAGTGTTCCCAAGTTGACAGGGTTGCCATTATCATATCCAGCAATCGTAATGTTAAATCGGACATCACCTTATCTCCTAACTGGTACTATTACTGAGATTTCGTATCAACACTTTAGTCTACTAAATTATTGTTTAAAACTCATATATGTGAGCGTTAATGCAGGGGCATTTCATACAGCCTATAAACACCGCCCTTTCATTAAATGTGTTTTCTGGTTTCCTTAATTTCGCCAATTTCTTAAGAAATTGATGGATAATTTGAAGATTATATGATCAGACACATAAACATGGCATATACCACATAAGTTTCTCATATTTAGTTGTTGTTTTTTAGTTGCTGTTTTTTGTTGAACCATATATTACGTACATGGATAACGTATTTTATTTACAAGTAGGCTGCATCTTGTATTAGACCAACATAGCATCAGGTTTCACTAGAGCTGCTAAGAACACTTCTTATCAGATGTGTTGACAGCTCTCCTGATAAAGAAAGTGACCGGAGATTTCTGGATTTGTCGTATCCTACCAACCACTTTAGATTGTGGTCGTACGCCCGATTCATTGGTAAGCCTGTCTCTCTACAATGTCGGAGAATGAACTACACAATGCACTATTAAATGACCTACCTCGATACATTCCAGAGTATTTTAGAATTCTTTTTATGTTGTTAGATCGCCAATTGTATGGGTTTATCGGCAGAACGAAGAGATTTTAGTTTTTACATCGGAAATATGTCAGCAATTTTCAAAATGTCGGAAGGGGAATTCCCCAGGGATTTCCCTTATGACTGGTGCATGCCGGGAACTGAATGGAGGAATTTGACGGTTGAAATAAGTTAAATATTACACGCAAATATTGCTATCAAAAACGAAAATATCTTCGTTCTGCCGATAAACCCATACAATTGGCGATCTAACAACATAAAAAGAATTCTAAAATACTCTGGAATGTATCGAGGTAGGTCATTTAATAGTGCAATGCGTAGTTCATTCTCCGACATTGTAGAAAGACAGGCTTACCAATGAATCGGGCGTAAAAACCACAATCTGAAGGGGTCGTAGGATGCAATAAGGTTGCCATCCTCACTTTTAAGGTACAGCTGTAAAATAACATTTTGGTAAAAAATTGCTTTACCTGCACATGTTATTTTCTGGTACAAAATAAAGTATGACGGCATGTGTGTATTTCCTTGTTTTTTTCAGGAAAGTATCGTAACACTGTCTACTTTTAGTAAACCTGGAAACAGGCCAGTGGTAGCTCCTGTGTTGTCTGGAAACTTTGAAAGAAAATTTGGAAAAATAGTGTGAAATATCAGAATATCCCATTGAACTCCTACCAGATATTCTAAAAGAAGACAATGTAATGATACTTTCCTGAAAAAAGCAAGGAAATTGACACATGCCTTCATACTTTATTTTTTACCAGAAAATAACATGTGCAGATATAGCAATTTTTTACCTAAATGTGATTTTCCAGCTGTACCTTAATACTTCAACAAAGCTCCTTATTCACCATTTTCACACTATACAGTCTTCCTTACTATTTCCTTGACAACTTATGTTTCCACTTTTAGGCCACACCATATTAGGAGGATGCCTTCTGCTACTGTACCTCAGGTGAAGAAAATGCGCTTGTCTTTAAAACAAAAACGTAAAGACGCAACTCTGTGCATGAATGAACCCTCTGAAGGCAAAGGTGGAGCTACTGAGCAATATGATACAGAACCTCAAACCAATGATATCAATACAACAGTTGAAGAATCAAAGATAACAGAAAAGTGAGTTATCCTTTGTTCAAACTTCTGCGTAATTCATGGTTGAAACAGTGATAGTTACACATAGCACATATAACACATTACACATAACACATGATCTGTGGATTAAAGTCAGTGTACTGTCAACTTACTTAAAGGATTATTCCGTCTGAGGTTCCAGTTTAGACTGTACGTGTATCTCTCTTTCTTTGTGTTGATTACTTGCTAATTATCTTTGGTGCTCATGATTTAATCTTCATTCCATATGTGTTAACTGTGTCATTGTTGTGATAATTTTATATTTTAATTAGATTTTATTATGAATATAATGCCATGTATTATCAAAATCATATGCCTGTTATCTAATTGATTAAAAAAGAACCTTTACCCTGTGACAGTGACAAGTATTTTAGTCCTACACAAATGAAGCAGGTTATATCTTCAAATGAACAATTTCAACAGTTAAATAATCTGATGCAAGTCCACATGTTAATACAGAATGGTTGAATCTTGAGGTGACCCTCAGAAGTCAGAACAGGAGGGAGGGAAATGTAAAAATGAACATGTAACCACCATTTTGCTAAATTTTGTCATTGTTACAGAAACAATTGTAATTAACTCACTGTTATCCTACTGTACCTGAAAAAATAAATTTTGGATGAATTCATTGAACAAATTTAATATTGCCAATATATGCATTTTTGGTTATTTTTCCAGGGAAGATGCACCAGGAGCATTGGAAAATGGGTCTGGGGACTCAGAACCTCCTCCCTGTGTAGCTGGCCTAGCAAATCTAGGTGAGAAATATATGTACACTAAACTGGACATGTCTTGACCTTTTACATCTGTTAATGTACTATCTGGATATTCAACCTTTGAAAAACAAAATTGCACCTTTATCAAAAACTTTTATTTGTGTCAAACAGATTCGCGACTAAGTTTGAGAATGTGAAGCTTTTGAGAATACATGTACATGTATAAGAAAAAAAGAAAAATATGATCCTCATCCTTCTACTTGAGGAAACTATTTTCATATAATATACTATACACTACATATTCATTCTTAAAATACATGCGCAAGTAATATAATGCTAAATATAGAATTAGAATTAAACTACTCTAACGTAAGGGATGATTTTTATTTTTAGGGAACACATGTTTTCTGAACAGTGTTATCCAAGTGTTGCGCTATAGTCCTGGGGTACCTGAAGCTATCAGTGTACTTGCTCGAGATGTTCGTGCTATGTCTAAAGCTAAACTTGCAAAGGCAAAATCTGAAAAAGTTAGTAGATACATTTCTTTATGGGGAACATTTTATTTTAAAAATACAATACATCTTATTTTAGGATATTTTTTTTTTCTAGGGCTTTATGAGAAATTTGTATATTTACTCTGTTTTATAATTTTTCAGATGGCTCATCATTTTTATCTCATTTGTTATTTCTAGGTTGATCAGAGTGGTTCAGGGGATGTGTCACTTCAGGCCCAGCTTGTTGAGTCACTAAACAAAGTAAGTAAAGATGAGAACACCATATTTGGCTGACTGTTGCATTATTGGCTAACTAAAGGTAACGATCATGAAAACTAAATTATAGCATTTTACAATGGGATAAAATCATTTAAAAACTTTCTTTTGCTTACACCTCCAAAATTTCAAGAAAGGTCTATTTATCTGATAGCTTAGTAAATAATATTGAAATCTATTTGTTTAAGATGTTTCAACGAATGGAGAATACAGAAAACAAGTACAGGCATGGAGAGGCTCAGCTGTATGTGTCGAAACCCAAGAAGATATTAGAGATCATCAGGTAAAATGCCTTTCTGTCTGTTTCAATAGTTACATTATGTATACAAGCCTATGTCCTCCCTAATGAATGTTTTGTATATGTCATTTATAATGCAATTACATGTCAAATGAAAAAGCCGGAAAATCATTAGCATTTTGTCAAGCTTGTCATATCTAACTACTTTTCCAGTCAGCGTATGCTGGAATTCATACAGATCACATAATCAACAGCTTGTATTGTCATCATCTATTTAAAATAGCAAAATCTTGTTTGAAACATTATGTCTCGAACAGCTAAAAATATATCAACATTATCAAAGATTTCAGAAGCAGAATTTTTCTAAAATTTTATAATTGTTCCTTTGTATAATGATAATTTCCAATAATTTTTTCTGTTGTTTTCACTTATTATGTCACCAGCACAATTGTTATCGTCTCCAACTTTTTGTTGTTGTGGCGGTTGGTGTTTGGCAGCTGGTGTTCAACATTCAGCACCAAATCACAGGTGGTGACATTTTGCATGTCAATGCTTTGTTTTGGTTGTTAGAAATTCTATGATTTAATCCCAAGTTTTCATTCCAGTGAGTTGAACCCAATGTTTGAGGGTAACGAGCAGCATGACGCACAGGAACTACTGAACTGCCTCTTATACTACATCCAAGACACTTGTAGTCAACTCCAACAACATATGAATGGTGGCAATGATGACACGGCAACCAACAGTCAGGATGATGAGAACAAAGAAGACAAACCTGATACGATTTTTCACTTAGGCGACGAGGAGATCACTCATTGTGAAGAGGATAAACTTGAACACCAAAAACCTGAAGAAAGTCCTTTGAAAACAGCCGCCGGGGATTCGACTTCGCTTGATCAAGTTGAGCATAAGACTCCAACAAAAACTGAATCAGATTCTGAGAGTAAGACTCCTGTAACTCCCAAGGCTGATGGTGAAACTGCCACAACAAATGCAGACAATGTCATGAGTGAAAATGGCACCAATCTTCTTCCTAAAGATGGGACACCTATCAAAGTACATGTACAGATTGAAAGCCCTAGAAGGTTTACAAGCATGTCCAAAATGCCAAAGATCACTCCGTCTCCATCTAAATGTAAGAAGTTAAAGCTTTGTGAGGTTCTGAATGAAGATGTCACTAAAGACAAGATTCCTGATAGTGATATCACTCTGAGAGATTGCCATATGGAAGTGACAACAGCAAATACCAAGGCTGTTACTGGAGGAGTAACAATTCTAGAAAAATATGCTAAAAGTCCTAAAAGTGTTCTTTCACCTTCCAATAGCCATGTCAACACTTCTAGAACGGGTGTCATATCTTCCAAAAATGATATCAGTTCACCTGAAAAAGAAGTCAAATCTTTCAATAATGATGTCAAAATACCCAATGATGATGTCAAGGACATCAAATGTGATGGCAACACATCAAAAGACACTAACCATGAAGAGAATGACACTAAAGAGACCAATGATGAAAACAATGCCATTGACTCTGAGTCAACCATTGACAATTCAAGACGTCCTAAGAGAAAGCGATCGCAAAAATCAGGGAATGATTCCAATGAAAGTGCTACTAAATCAAAGAAGACAGAATCAAAACGAAAATCAAATGGGAAAAATGATGCAACACAAACATCATTATTGAGCATGTGGAAACAACCTCAAATGAAGCGATATGGAATGACTGGTGGAATTGTAAAACAGGAGACTTGTAACAGCCCAGTATGTAAGCTTAAACAGCCAGTTTTGAAGTTAGATAAATGTGATCGGCCAATATTGCCTGTTTTAAAACTTGAAAAATGTGACGGTCCCAATTCTCCACACAGGATGCATTGCGATACATTGAGTCCGGCTTCAGACGTGAAAATTAAACTTTTTGATAGTCGCCCAGAGCCAAAGAGGGAAAATCGTAAGATAAAGCCAGCTACCGTTAAATTAGAAAAACTTGATGAAAGGAGTTTGAGTCCTGTTTTGAATTTAGAAACAAGTAAACTGAAATGTGAAAGCTCACCAAAATGTGAAACTATGAAATGTGAAAGTCCTGTGAAAAATGTGAAACAGGAATATGAAAGTTTCGAAAATTCAAATTCCTCAGGATGTGAAGAAACTCCGAAGTTGCAAGAACAATTATTGGACAACAAGACAAAGAAAAAAACAGAAGAGAAAATTGATATCAAAACAGAATTAAAATCCCCAACCGCCAAAATTAACAACAAGGAAATCAATAATAATGCAGTGAAAACATCTGAAATGGATGAAAAGGAAAACCAACCAACTGCATCAGAAAATGAAAACAGACAAATGCCGAACAACATTAAAATCACAAATAATATTCAAAAACTCTTCTCAATTTTCAAAAACATTGGGAAAAAGAAAGAAATTATGTACAGGAATACAGTGAAGACATTATTTGAAGGGAAAATGGGTTTGAGTACAGTCTGTCTGGAGTGTGAGAGGTCCACAGAGAGAGAAGAGGAGTTTCAGGATATCAGTGTTGCTGTGAAGAGGGATGTTCAGAAAGTACAGACTGTTGAAGAGAATGTTGCTGAGGGATATAAATCTGATGATGATGAGGATGACACTTCAGGTAAAGGACAAGTCTTGGTTTGGAGAACAGTCAACTGGGCGAATAATATTTTATGAAAAATATAGAAATAACACCCAAATTAAATTATGAATAATCAAAAGAAGACATTTAAATCTACAATATGTGAAAATATCATATCATGTCATATAAAATATGACATCATTTAGATTGAAACATGACATCATTTAAAACATGGCATCTGGCTCATAATATGCCACCTTCTGTGAAATGTGACGCATCTAATGAATTATACTCATTAACTCTACATTGGAAATACAGAACTATAATGTGCAGTCATTTTACATTCATTATACTCTCCATTTTTTGAGAATGGTGTTCGGCGTTTAGCAGTACATCTGTAACAAATGGAAAGGTGTGACATTTTGCATGTTAATACCTTGTTGGTTAATGATTTTATTTTATTGTCTTAGATGCTACTGGGTGGATCCTTTCGAGACTCAGTGAGGTAGATGGTCTGACAGGGGACAATAAATACTACTGTGAGGCCTGTTTGAGACTGGTGGAGGGACAGCGGAGAATGAAATATAAAACGCTACCTCAGCTACTCATGCTACATTTGAAACGATTTGCAGCAAATTCTGGGTAAGATATTAATGTTAGACAATAAAAAATGTTTTTGAGATAATATAGGTATAAAGGATTTTCCTGAAAGGCCTATAATGAACATGATCTTTTCAATATTCTGGATATTATTTTGCCTTAAATAAGAAAGAATATGTTTGAATTAAAAGTGAAAATACACAAAATACTGTATTTCCATCTATTATGTTTTACATTTCAGTTTTCTTGGTGGTATTACAAAGATCAGTGATTTTGCCCCCACTCCTTTGATGCTCCCATGTTTCCAGACTGCATGTCCTCAACCTTGCAGTAAACAAGGACACAGGTATGGATCAATAGTTCAACATTGTAATCCAAACCTGCTTAATACATCCCTTGAAGCCATTTGGATTCCTCTATGATAATCATACATGTGTTTTCCTCAAAGATTGGTCATGTGATACCGTTATAGTAACAAAGTAAATCAAATCCCTGTTGGTTGGTTCTTTTGTTCAATTATTCTACATGTTCAACATCAACAAAATGTTCCATGGTCACGCTCAAGTGTTCTACATATAATTTTTCCTCGCCAGTAAAAATAAACGTTCACCAATACTACCGAATTCATTAACGGTGGTTGATTTCTAAATTTTCTTGGTAGAGATAATCGTATATTGAAAAAATATGACATTGATGAATGTTTCTCATGTCTTTCAGGTATGAGTTATACGGCATAGTGACTCATACAGGATGTACCCTTTCATCAGGTCACTACATAGCATATGTTAAAGCTAATAAATCCAATTTCCCACCACCCACCCCATCACCACCAAGCCGAATAAGAGAGCAATCATCACGCATCAGCCATCGTAAACTCACCCCTAAAGGTGAAACTCAAAAACTCCAGGACAAAAGTAATGCTCAGGTTACAGAGGGTGTGACAATGGATGTTGATTACACAGGAAAGTGGTTTGAATGTGATGATGAGTATATAACTGTATTAACAGAGACAGAGTTAGAGGATAAACTGCTGACTAAACAAGCCAAAGACTATGGAAGTCCATATATGCTGTTCTATAACAGAGCTGCTGAAATGAAATAGATTGATATAGGGATTATTTGATGGAAGTGAATATATATGGCTTTTATTCTGAGGTATGATATATGAAGACAGTGGGAGTTCTTACATGCAGTTCTATAACTGAGCTGCTGAAACTAGATAGTTATAGGGATTATTTAATGGAGGGAATAAATATGGATTTTATTTTGAGGTAGGATATATAAAGACTATGGAAGTTCATAAATGTTGTTCTATAAAAGAGAACTAAATATATTAGGCTAATGGAAGGGAGTAAATATATGGATTTTATTCTGAGGTACCAAGGAATACATCATATTGATGGAGGGTATACTTGTAAGTGGCATGATATTTTCAGTGGTTGATGTATACATGTATTATCCTAATATATAAAATTCCCATTCAAAAATAGACCAACATGTATATATCGAACTAGATAACCGCAACGCCAAAGCGTAGCAAATCCCATCTACTTTTTTTCGAGATATAGTAGAAAACGTAAAAATGGTACCCAAAGTGTCACTAGACAGTGTGCCATGCTTATAGTATTCACATATCAAATATGAACAAAATAGCTCCACTACTTTTTGAGTTACAGTAAAAAAAGTTAAATAACACGTAAAAATGGCGGCCATTTTTCAAACATTATATATTTACATTTCTAGCTTAATTAATGTCCTATATAACATTTTTACATTTAAAACATATTGCTATTACAGTTTTATTCGCAGTACCTAAATTACTGTAAAATTGGTACTAAAATTCCTGCCATTTTTTAACAAGCAGTCATTTTGATCGGCTTTCGAGCAGAACTTGTACTCCCATGGGGCACATGTGTATTTGAGTTATCGCCCGGACGGAGGGACGGAGGCGTTCCCTATACCCCTCTGAACTGCGTTCGATGGGATAATTATATAATACATGAAAGTAAAAAGTAATTTAATTTTTAATTTATAATTTTTGTCTGATATTGTTATAGAAATGAAAATAAGACCTAGAAATATCACTTTTATTTTCTTGGGAAAAGTTGTATTCTTGGCATAGTCTCATATTATATCCATTGTGTCATATTTGTAATTTAGGCTTGATCCTAGTTGATCATAGAAGATCGGATGTAGCACAAGTTAATAGTTATTGTCAGTAATATTGCAATAATATTTGTCATTTAGTTGACATATTCTGTACAATTTATACTGGAAGGTTAGTTTTATGTCACCACCATAAGTGGTGACATATTGTTATTGTCTCCAACTGTTTCATGGTTGTGGTTGGTATTCAGCGTTTTGGCATCCATTGTCTGTAACAAATGGCAGGTGGTGGCAATTTGCATCTTAATGCCTTGTTTTACCTGATTCAATATTATAAAAATTATGAACTTGAGAGAAACCATGTTGCTCTGTAAAACAAGCTATGAATTGAATGACCATGTAAAAACATATACATTCCAAATGTATAATGAGGGAATTTACCAAATTTATTTTGCGCATTATTGTGGCTATTGGACAATATCCCTTTCCATCATTAAAATATTAAAAGAGAGTCTCCCTCTCTCCTAGAACCCTGGGCCTCAGGGTTCACATGTTTACATATAAAGACATTTGTGATTATGAAATTCTGAACAGTTATGAATCATGATTTAAATATTACTCAAATTTTCTACTCCATTGTATAATATATATTTAAGATAAAAATAAATAAATAAATAGATAATATGATTATATAAAATACATGAGAAATCGTTTGTTTTTATTCACAGTTTAGAAGAGTAGGTCACTGGCTTGAAATCAAAATTAAACATGTTAAAACTAAGCCTCTAAAATTCATGCACCCAAAATCTCCTCCAAAATATACAAAAGGCATCGCTACAAATGGCATAATTCCAAGAATATTTAGGGGCATGCATCAGGTTTGGTTCATAACCTGAATAGCAAGTTCCAACAAGAACACAAATGTGTACAAAATGTCCCCACCTATGGGTCATCCCGTCAAATGGTTATCCTAAAAATGAGATTTTACCGACACAATTTGAGGACGGAAAATCGAAAATGGCCACCTTAAAATTTACCCAGAATGCCCAAAAATTAGTCAGTTCTAGATTTTCATACTAAGAACCACCCCTAAAAATTTGAAATTGATCCGTCACACAGTTAACCCAAAAACATGTAAACAAGACTTTACAGACAAGACTTGAGGACAGATAATCCAAAATGGCTGCCTTGACATTTACCCAGAATGCCCAAAAACTAATCAGATCTAGATTTTCATACTAAGAATCATCCCTGAAAATTTGAAATTGATCTACCAAACAGTTCACCTAAAAACACGTAGAAAAAGACTTTACAGGCAAGATTTTAAGACGGAAAATCCAAAATGGCTGCCTTGACATTTATCCAAAATGCCCAAAAACTAATCAGATCTAGATTTTCATACTAAGAATCATCCCTGAAAATTTGAAATTGGTCTACCAAACAGTTCACCTAAAAACACGTAGAAAAAGACTTTACAGGCAAGATTTTAAGATGGAAAATCCAAAATGGCTGCCTTGACATTTATCCAAAATGCCCAAAAACTAATCAGATCTAGATTTTCATACTAATAATCATCCCTGAAAATTTGAAATTGATCTACCAAACGGTTCACCTAAGAACACGTAGAAAAGACTTTACAGGCAAGATTTTAAGACGGAAAATCCAAAATGGCTGCCTTGACATTTATCCAGAATGCCAAAAAACTGATCAGATCTAGATTTTCATACTAAGAATGATCCCTGAAAATTTGAAATTGATCTACCAAACGGTTTACCTTAAAACGCGTAGACAAGACTTTACGGGCAAGATTTTAAGACGGAAAATCCAAAATGGCTGCCTTGATATTTATCCAGAATGCCAAAAAACTAATCAGATCTTGATTTTCATACTAAGAATCATCCCTGAAAATTTGAAATTGATCTATCAAATGGTTCACCTGGAAACGCGTAGACAAGACTTTACAGACAAGATTTTAGGACGGAAAATCCAAAATGGCTGCCTTGACATTTACCCAGAATGCCCAAAAACTAATCAGATCTAGATTTTCATACTAAGAATCATCCCTGAAAATTTGGAATTGATCTACCAAACGGTTCAACTGGAAATGCATAGACAAGACTTTACAGACAAGATTTTAGGATGGAAAATCCAAAATGGCTGCCTTGACATTTACCCAGAATGCCCAAAAACTAATCAGATCTAGATTTTCGAACTAAGAATCATCCCTGAAAATTTGAAATTGATCTACCAAACGGTTCACCTTAAAACACGTAGACAAGACTTACAGACAAGATTTTAGGATGGAAAAATCCAAAATGGCTGACAAAAAAAAATGATTATGAGTTTTTGCTGATTTCTTTTTACAAAATTATCACATATACCTAGTGTTAACAATAACATAGGCTTTTACAAGAAGGTACACCTGAAATTATTTATAAACCTACTAAATAGTTAAAGTATGAAAACTCAAAAACACCATTCAATATGATACAAAGTATTATCGAGCGTTAACTTTTCTTTAGACATTCGAAATGGCTGCCATGACTGAGCTAACAGGTCCAAAACCTAATCAGATCTAGAATGAAGTGAGCTGAACAAGATGTTAAAGTTTTAAAAGCAACTGTGAAGCCATTTTTCTTCAAGTTTGCAGACAAGGATTTTAGCATTTGACTTCAAAATGGCCGACAGGAAGTAGATATCGAGTTAAAAAATTTTCATCCACATCTGTATGCACTCATAAGTTACCCCTGAAAATTTGAAGGTGATATCTGCAGCGGTTTTGGAGAAAACTGCCGGACGTACGACGGACGTCTTGTAATATATAGATACACTGTCCCACATGTTTTGTTAAAGAGCAACTGAAGCATACAATCTTTCCACAAAGATAAATTCAGACCAACATTTGGATATCTACATCATATAGGTAGATTATAATTGATTTTATTTACTTGTCATATCCAGTATTTAATACATTATAGGTTTAAACCCATATTAATATTGAAGTCATATTTGGTAAGTTAAAATCCAGTATATATTAATTATAGGAAATACCCATATTAATATTTAAGTCATGATTGGTAAGATAAAAATCCACATTAGATATAAAAGCAGGTTCCTCAGGCTTGTGACTGGGCATAGGTGGGTTTAACGTTTTAGTCCATGGAAACACTCCCCTTCCCTGCATGGATTCAATAAATAAGACATAACTGGGTCCCTGGACTATATTAACAAGTCCATGAACGCTTCAGTGTACGGTGTATTTTTATAGTTAACATTTTTCATTTGTTTTCCATTTTTATAGTTAACATTTTTCATTTGTTTTCCGGACGGACGGACGGATGGACAGACGGACGGACGCGCCTAGGCCGACAATATGGCCCAACACTATGTGGTGTGGACATAATAAAATGGTGAAATATACAGATTGAATAAAAATTGCCAAAATTGCTAATATGAGATTTTTCCAATATTTATAAAAGTGATTTTGTTAATTAATTGTTAATTTTAAAGATTCCTTTACAATTCTAAAGAATGTTTTTTGTTCACATGAATATGATTATGAGAGATTGCTGACCACTGAAAATGAAAACTTTATGCAAATATGACAGAATATTTTGTAGGCATTATGGATTGAAACTGCCATTTTGTACTGTTGGTGATGCACTGTGATGATTTACAAAATCAACTTCATTTAAAAAGAGATGGAAGTACTCTTAACCTCTCCACATATAACCGGCATGATATTTCCAGGGTCCCTTGCCCTTCCAATGTGCCATGTTCATGCCTCAAATCAATTGAATGTGACTGCAAAGGTAAATCTGAGAAATAAAAGGGGGTTTAAACTAGTGCTTAACTTTTCCTTTTTAGGTTACATATGAAGTCAATAACAAAGAAATCTTAGAATTTTTATATATACATTATCTTATAATATAAAACATATACATTAGTGTTCATATACAACAAAGCTGGGTTCAGTAAGTGTAATCACAGCAATGAGGCAATATCATCAGCGGGTCTGGGAGCTACAAGGGGAAGTACAAGAGGAAGAAATATTTGAAGTGTTCTTATTTTTGCAGATTTGTAATATGGACAGTTAATTAAGCATACATGTATATATATATTATATATATATATCTTTTATTAAATCTCTGATGTCATACACTGTAAATTGCATCAATTTGGCAATTATCCCGAAGAAATGAAACGATGACATTTTCACAAAAATCCACAATTTACAAAAAATGGCACAACACCAAATGGCAAAACATCAAATCATTTAGTGACAAAATGGCAATTTACAGTAAACGTTTAATGATCCTAACTTCCATGTGGGCGCAGGAGACATTCTATGAGTTCACTGACATGAATATGGTTGATATAAAGCTATAATTTTACATAAAAACTTATATTGCCTATTTACTATATTTATACACATGTGTTAAAACAGTATTTTGCTAAAGGGTATACTGTACATTCAATGTCACAATGTTTTTTTGTGATTCCAGCACCTCTTTTCCCTTAAAGTCAAATATAACTGATTTTTTTCAAATTAAACGTTGCTGATTTTTGAATTTGATAAATAACTAAACAATAGAGTTTAACCCCCTTCCCGAAAAAAAATAAAAACACATTTGTTGGCATTGGTCTTATGGCTTTCTAAAATCACAAGTGAGATAATGTCATGCTGTTTTAGTCTCATGGGTGGCATCTATGATGAAGTCTCTTTCTGAAAAATCACAAGTGAGATAATGTCATGCTGTTTCAGTCTCAAGGGTGGCATCTATGATGAAGTCTCTTTCTGTAGCAACCATGCTGTGAACTATGCCCCAATGATATCAAGATTTGACAATATGAAAAAAGTGTAACATACAATATCATGGGGCCTTTAATGTTTATAATTAAAATCCAATAGTGAACACTTAAAAGATACACATCACTCATGTACATTATAACAGAATAAATAAAAAATCTTTCATTACATTTTGTAGAACTGGAGTCGATTTTTATGATAACATCCATATTTTTCATGTTTAGAAGGTTTCCCTGTGTACAAGGTTTATTTAATTTTAAGACAAATTTGCTTCCTCATTTTCTTCAATCCATATTTTTAGATTGGGTAACTGTAATAGTTTATGTACAAGCAATCCTACATATAAATAATATCTCTTTATATATGAGTTATGTCTATATTTATTGCCGTCTCAGATTTTCAAGACGAGCTTCTAAATCAGCATCTGCGTCAGAAACTGGCCCTGCAGCGACTGGCTGTTTTGCAGCTGGAGTTGACAGTGAGCCACCAGTGGTGGGAATATCTGAAATAACAGTTATTCAGGTTATGATTTGAGTGCAAATGCATGGAATCATCATCGAGAAATGAAACAAACAAGGTGTTAACATTCAAAATGTCACCACCTACTATTTGTTTCATTTGTTACAGATGCCAAACCTCAACCACCGAATGTCATCCACAAAAATTGGAGACAATATGTCACCACTTCTGGTGGTTTAGATAGGTTTATAGTTTATCTTCTTATAGAGATTTAAAAAAACTGCAACATTCAAATATTGTTAGAGGACTGACTGACAGGTAGGCATATTAACAATACATCGAAGTGAGATATAACATAGACATCATTTTCACAAGTCCACTGAGGTGCATGATCGGAAATCCTCGAAAGTCTAGAAAACTTAACATTTGATGCTTTTAGATTTGATGATCCTTTCTATCACCAGACTATGTGTAATGTAGAGGCTTATGATGGCTTAGGCTTATAATGGTAAAAATATAATTAACTTACCTGAAAGCTTATCTCCTAGTTGAAGGCCTAATTCATCTAGCACTTGTGATACAATTGCATCTCTGAAACATATGAAAATACATGTAAAGCATTGTCCAAGAAAAGACGGAGAATTTAAAAATTTTCTCAAAAAGGCTCAAATGGTCAAGGAATTCAAAAATTTTCAGAAAGACCCAAGATAAGTTGAAAATTTAACCAAAAACTGTACGATACATAAAGCTTAAAACAATAAATAGTACCGTGGGTACTGGGCTCACATGGTTTTGCTCAAAAGTGAATGATGGCTAAAATGGCAGAAAATAAAAAATGGATGTAATTTTTGCCGATTTTTTGTAACAAAATTATTTCAAACAACTACTCTAATACAGTGACATGGCTTTTTACAATGCAGGACACCTGAACTTATTTGTAAAGCTAGGAAATGGGCTATAAGTGAATTTTGTGAGACAAAAATGGCGATCATTTTGAAAATAGGCCAGCTTTTGAACCAGGAGTCCTATGGGAGTTTTCTGTATTGATGTTGAACAAAAATAACTTAAAACAGGAATCCAATTGACAGAGGTTTTAAGGCAAATAGTCCAAAAGTGGAATGGCAGCCATTTTGAAAATAGATGACTTTTTGAACCAGGAGTCATAGGGGGTTTTCTATATTGATGTTGAACAAAAATAACTTAAAACGTGAATCCTTTTGACAGAGGTTTTACAAGAACACAAATGTGTACAAAATGTCCCCACCAGTGGGTGATCCCATCAAATGGTTATCCTGAAAATGAGAAGACTAAGACTTTACCAACACAATTTGAGGACAGAAAATCCAAAATGGCCATCTTAAAATTTACCCAGAATGCCAAAAATTTAGTCAGTTCTAGATTTTCAAACTAAGAACCACCCCTGAAAATTTTTAATTGATCCGTCACACAGTTAACTAGAAAACATGTAAACAAGACTTTACAGACAAGATTTTAGGATGGAAAATCCAAAATGGCTGCCTTGACATTTACCCAGAATGTCAAAAAACTAATCTGTTCCTAGATTTTCATACTAAGAATCATCCCTGAAAATATGACATTGATCTACCAAATGGTTCACCTGAAAACGCGTAGACAAGACTTTACAGACAAGATTTTAGGACAGAAAATCCAAAATGGCTGCCATGACATTTACACAGAATGCCAAAAAACTAATCAGATGTAGATTTTCAAACTAAGAATCATCCCTGAAAATTTGAAATTGATCTACCAAACGGTTCACCTAAAAACGCGTAGACAAGACTTTACAGGCAAGATTTTAAGACGGAAAATCCAAAATGGCTGCCTTGACATTTATCCAGAATGCCAAAAAACTAATCAGATCTAGATTTTCATACTAAGAATCATCCCTAAAAATTTGAAATTGATCTACAGAACGGTTCACCTGGAAATGCATAGACAAGACTTTACAGACAAGATTGTAGGACAGAAAATCCAAAATGGCTGCCTTGACATTTGCCCAGAATGCCAAAAAACTAATCAGTTCTACATTTTCATACTAAGAATCATCTCTGAAAATTTGAAATTGATCTACCAAACGGTTCACCTGAAAACGCGTAGACAAGACTTTACAGACAAGATTTTAGGACGGAAAATCCAAAATGGCTGCCTTGACATTTACCCAGAATGCCAAAAAACAAATCAGATCTAGATTTTTATACTAAGAATCATCCCTGAAAATTTGAAATTGATCTACCAAACGGTTCACCTGAAAACACGTAGACAAGACTTCACAGACAAGATTTTAGGACGGAAAAATCCAAAATGGCCGACAATAAAAAAGTGATTATGTGTTTTTGCTGATTTCTTCTTACAAAATTATCACATATAACTACTGTTAACAATAACATAGGCTTTTACAACAAAGTACATCTGAAATTATTTATAAAGCTACTAAATAGTTAAAGTATGAAAACTCAAAAACACCATTCAATATGATACAAAGTATTATCGTGCGCTAACTTTTCTTAAGACATTCAAAATGGCTGACATGACTGAGCTAACAGGTCAAAAACCTAATCAGATCTAGAATGAAGTGAGCTGAACAAGATGTTAAAGTTTTAAAAGCAACTGTGAAGCCGTTTTTCTTAAAGTTTGCAGACAAGGATTTTAGCATTTGACTTCAAAATGGCCGACAGGAAGTAGGTATCGAGTTAAAAATTTTTCATCCACATCTGTATGCACTCATAAGTTATCCCTGAAAATTTGAAGGTGATATCTGTAGCGGTTTTGGAGAAAACTCCCGGACGTACGGACGGACGGACGGACGTACGGACGGACAGACGGACGCGCCTAGGCCGACAATATGGCCCCACACTATGTGGTGGGGACATAAAAACTGGCCAATTGTTGACAGACAGACAGACAGACAGACAGACAGACAGACAGACAGACGGACAGGCGGACAGACAGACATACAGACAAGTGAGTGATTGCAATAGCTCCCCATGTGAGCTAAAAAACAACAAAATCATGAAGGCAGTGAATATACAGTGTACATGCAAACAGTGAACATGTAATTTTTCTGAAGTTTTTGTATTCAAAAATGTATTTGATCAAGGAAAAGGGGAATTTCGATTTGATTTGTTAGAGCAACCCCAGTTCAGTTTGTCTGACATACGTCCATTTTTTAAATCAAGTAAACATAAATTGAAGTTTAAAGGAAGTTTACTTGATTGATTTTGCTGTTCAATTTTTTAAATCTATTAAATCGAAATTGTGGTTTAAAGGAAGTTAAGTTGATTGCTTTATATGGTGCCTACTCTAAGGCATGTTACATCTCTACCATGCACCATATGTGCCAATTTGAAGTAAAACTGATGAGAAGTTTTCGGGAATCATGCTGCCATCAGAACTATAGTATATCAAACTGATGAGAACCATGTGAGGTTTTATTGCCTCATACAAGGATACTTCAAATTACTAGAGCTAAGAAATTTGTATCTCACCCCTCCTCTTCATCATCTTCATCTCCTAAAGCATCATCTATTGCATCTGTCATCATCTCCTCCTTCATGTCCATGATCTCACTCTGTTTCTCAAACTCCATCATAATCTTTTGTATTTGGGGGAGCTTCAGCTATAATATAAACATTTTAACCTTAAATTCTTTTCTTTTTTCATTGAAATAAAATATGAATGCTATAGTTTACATGTACTTGTGATATTCTGCATCTATTATTGCTTCCGATAAACTTTTGAAAACATGTCTAATTTTTTGCAAGTGTGTTCTTTGATAATTCTCAATATTTCACAAATATTTATTATAAAACTGCAAAAGGTGAGCTGAAATAACAAACCTGTGCATTCATTCTCTGCATTGCTTTAGTTACACCTTTCATTGCTGTAGCCATAGAATTATTTGCTTTCAAAGTCTGTATTTTGAGAGAAACTGCTTGTATATTTGCTCTCATTAAGATAAATTTTTTAACATATCTCCTGGTTCTAACCAAATCTTTTGCCATTATTTTGACAGCATCCTGAAAAAATAAACAGAAAATGTTAGTGAAAGTCCAGAATCAGATGAACATTTTAGTTACTTGTTGCTCTCTGTCTACAGAATGTTTAAATACAATTTCAATATGAGTGAAATTTCACACTCTATAAAGTCATTTTCTTAATATAGCCAATAGTGTCTATATTTGCCTCTGACTACTGTACAGTATATTTTAATACAATTACCATTTGGCCCTCTTTAGCCATTTTCTTTATATCGTTTATAACTTTTTTCTCTTGTTGTTCCATTTTAGATCGTTCTCTATCAAGATCTCGCATTGCTCTATTGAGGGCACGCTGGTTTTGTCTTAGCATTTCTTCCGGAGTTTTCTTCCGGCCAAACAGCCATTCTAATGGCATTATGGACACTGAAGTAAGATGTACAGTATCTGAAAGTCAAATAAAATATAATACATAAAACATGAGTCCCTCAAGTCAAGTATTGGAAATGACTACATCTAGGTGTGATTGAACTGATGATAATGAATGACGATGAATCATTTACTTCAAGTTCAACAAGAGACAAAACTTCAAAAACGTAAACAATCAAAAGGAGCAACAATAAAACCACTACCCCATTCCAATATTATCGAGCACTTGTACTCAAACTACAATCCTAAATGACATTCCTATTTCATTTTATATTTCACGTAAAGAAAACACACACTGATACATAAAATACCTCATTATTTACCTAAAATGTGAGATATTTGGTCAGTTCCTGATCCTAGTTGTGAAATACGCCATCAATACTTGCCTGCTGACCTCAGACAAGTGAATTCTAAATGCCAAACTTTTGGGCTAAAATCTGTGAAACGGAATTACCAATTGGCAAATTTCCTTTTGTTTCGAGACTACAGATGTAAAAATTCAATATGGCGGTATGAAAGCGGTGTGAAGCTGAACGGGGTGAGTAATTAAACTTCATTTAAACGGTCTAATAGTGGATACATTTATAAATGAGTGCTATGAAAATATAGAGTGATAACTCCCCAATAGAGTTTGTTTTGTTTTTATCATTATTTAACTCAATTTGTACACGAAAATCGAGTGCAAATACGAGGCAATTTTTCTTAGCCAGAGAATATTTTTTTCAAATTTTTTTGTTTAGTTATAGTTATAGTTATAGTTATAGTTATTCACTGCTAGGTCATTCTGACCTGTAGCCGGTCTTAAGATTTAATTTTAAAAATAATGAGCATGGTTAAGCATAGACCCCATTAATTGACTGAATCTGGTGGCTACCTCAGAGCTCTGTAGTTATATCTTGTAGGGTGGTTCTTCCATAATTTGTCCAGTCTATTCTTGAAGAGATTGATGTTTTGGGCCTCTACAACTTCTTGGGGGAGGGAATTCCAACTGCTCACTATTCTCTGGGTGAAGAATCCCTGTCTCAGTATTGTCCTGTTCTGTTTCTTTGAAACTCTCATATTATTGCCACGAGTTCTGCCAATGTTGTGGGAGAGGGGAAGGATATTGCTTATTGGTATGTCGTACTTTTCATTCAAAATTTTCCATGTTTCAATCATATCGCCTCTGAGACGTCTGAACACAAGTGTTGGTAACTTTAACTCTTTCAGTCTTTGGGGATAGTCCTTGTCTTTTAGGCTTGGTATACATCTTGTGGCTCTTCTTTGTACAGCTTCAACCGCTTCAATGTCCTGGATTAAATATGGAGACCAAACTGTATTGGCATATTCAAGATGGGGTCGTACCATTGCCTTGTAAAGAAGCAACATATTGGAGGAATCTAGAAATTGGAAGGTCCTTCTTATTAATCCCAGAATTTGGTTAGCTTTTTTAACTACCGTTTGTACATGTGTACTACTTTTCAAATTCTTGGTAACCATTACTCCCAGGTCCTTCTCACCTTCTGTTTCTTGAAGTGCTGTGTTGCCCATGCTATAGTTATATTCTGGGGGGGATTTTCCTATTCTTAATACCTTGCATTTTTCACTATTGAACTGTAATTGCCATTCTTGGGTCCAGTTCATAAGGGATCTTATATCTTGTTGTAATTCATTACAGTCATCTAGGTTATTTACTTCTCTATAGAGTTTCGTATCATCAGCAAACATAATCAGAGGGCTGTTTACTGCCTGTGGTACATCGTTTACAAATATCAGGAACATAACGGGTCCGAGGACAGTCCCCTGGGGTATGCCTGACGTTACATCGGTCCATGATGACGATTCACCGTTAATGGTTACTCTCTGCTTTCTGCGTTGGTATTGGTTACTGTTGTTGCGGTTTCCTGCTGAATCACTGTTCTCTGGGCCGTCAAATTCGTTTCCGGATTCCGCACCGAGGAAAGCTTTCAGCCACTGGAGGGCTGTACCCACAATTCCTAAGTTCTGTATTTTTCTAATTAATCGTTCATGCGGAACTTTGTCGAAGGCTTTTTTGAAGTCAAGATAGACTGCGTCAATGTTGCTTCCACTGTCTAGTACTTCAGTCCACTTATCTAGTGTCACGAGTAGGTTTGTTACACAGGATCGACAAGGCAGGAATCCATGTTGACACTGCGACAGGAGGTTGTTCTGTGAAAGATGAGATAGTATTCTTTCTCTTATTATAGATTCCAGGATCTTACACACTACAGATGTGAGGCTTACGGGCCTGTAGTTATTAGGTTGACATTTCTTGCCTTTCTTGTGGATTGGTGAAATGTTGGCTTGTTTCCAATCTTGTGGTAATGTTGCGGTATCTATAGATTTTCTAAATATCAGGTAGAGGGGTCTGCATATTACTTCTTTCAATTCCTTGAGTATACGGGGCTTGATATTGTCTGGTCCAGGTGATTTGCTTACTTTCAGTAATTCCAGTTTCTTCATTATATCCTCCTCCGTGAATGTCCAGTCCTGTATATAGTTATTCAGTCTGATATAGTGCCCAGCTGGTATATTCTCTTTATTCTCGTTAGTGAAAACACTAGAGAAAAATTTGTTGAGCTCTTCTGCTTTATCAAGGTCATTCTCTGTCCTAGATCCATCCTCTCTTAGAAGTTGGGGAATTCCGCTCCGTGTTTTCGTTTTACTATTACTGTAGCCCCAAAACTTTCTAGGCTGAGATTTCGCCAGCTTGGCTATATTACATTCAAATTCTTTAACTGCTCTAGAGACTTCTTTTTTGGCTTGATTTCTCTCTTTTATATACTGTAAATATTCTTCACCTTTCTTTGTGGTTTGGTATCTTCTCCATGCACTGTGTTTTCTTTTTATCTGGGCCATGCATTTTTTATCCATCCATGCTTTCGCTTGTTTTTTGGCTTTTATTTGAGGGACATTCTTACTGTAGCTGTCTTCCATTTTGGTTCTAAATATATTCCAGCAGTCGGTGACTTCTTTATCCTTGAATTCCCTGTCCCAATCTAAAGTGAGCTCTTCTTTCATCTTTCCATAGTCAGCTTTGTCTAGAAGGTGGATGATTCGGACTTGTTTTATATATTCTGCTTTGAAGTGGAATTCAAACTTCAGTACTTGGTGGTCACTTTTACCCAGTCCAGCTGTTACTTCTAAATTTGTGACCATGTCTTCTTCATTTGAAATCACCAGGTCTAGAATGTTGTCCCCTCTAGTTGGTTCAGCTACATGTTGGTATAAGAAGTTATCATCAATTAGTTCTATTAGTCCCTCTGCAGTTCTCCTATCCTGGCATCCTGGTATTGTACAGTTGAGGTCCCAGTTTACTCCTGGTAGGTTGAAGTCTCCCATGATTAGTAGGTGAGATGGATTTGTGTCACATTTGTTTTTGATTTGCTGGAATAACGCCTCAGAGTTTGCTTCATCACATGTGGGGCTTCTATAAACACATCCAATAATGGCAGTGTCTTTTTCACAGTTCATTTGTAGCCACACTGACTCTTTAATATTCAAGTTTGTTTGAAGTTGGTGACATTTTATGCTGTCCTTTACATAAACTATTATACCTCTTGTATTATCATCTAAATTATTAGTGAAGTGTTGATATCCTTGGAGAGCAATTTGAGATTCAGCTAGTTTGTAGTCCCTGCGTTTAACATTCACTTCTACAAGTCCAATTATATCTGGTTCCGTCTCGTGGGTCATCAATTCAAGTTCATCCTTCTTATTAGGGAGGCTGTCCATATTTGTATATATTACTTTCATTTTATGTACACTATTTACACTATTTACATTTTTGTTCTGTCTGGCTGTTACTCGTCTTGGCTCTCGTCCCCCGAGTCCCTTTCTGGATTGGTGATCAAAAGAGGGGGTTGCTTTGGCAATTGTTTATCTTTGGGTGTTGGTGTAGGCTCAATATTATCGCCTCTGAGTGCTTCGCGATTTCTCGTTCTGTTTGTTTCAGTCACCTCTGATGAGCTTCCTTCACTAGTGTGCGTATTCCTTGGTACAATGGCTCCTTTCTTTATCATGAAATCCCTTCCATTGTTGGGCAGATTCTTCAAATCATTGAGTAGCTTGCGGGACTCCTCCCTCTCCAGCGGTGTCATATCAGGTTTTATGTAGATTCCTCTGTATGCTTCTTTGTTCCTTAGTGATTTTGCACTTCGTAGGATTTCAAATTTTTTCCTAGTGTCTCTTATTCTGACTAGAAGTGGTCTATTTTTGTTTGGAGTTGGTTTACCAAGCCGAAATGTTTTTTCTAGTTCAGCCTCCAGTCTCAATCCATCAGTTATGAGGTCATCTGCCTTCTTTGTATCATCTAAGAGTCGTTGGCGTGGTGTGTTAGCTGCACTTTCTGGTATGTTAAATATCACTAAATTGTTCTTGCGTTTTTCCCTTTCTGAGTATTCTTGTAGTGAGGCTGATACAGTTGCATTGGATCGTGGGGGTATGTGTTCGGAAGACGCGTTTGTGTTCCAGGACATGACATTTTCAGTTGTGGGTTGGGGGGATAGCTTGACTTGTTTCACCTGAATGTCCGATATCTTTGATGTTAACTCTCCCAGTACATTTTGTATTTGGATAATTTGCTCTTTTAGATCAGTTTGGCTTTGGCTTGGATCAGAGGTTTTTGGTCGAGCTGATTTTGATGCTTGTACTACTTGTTCAACTATTGGGCTACATAACTTACAATACCAATGGATATTTTTGTGAATCTGGAGTACACCTATCAAGTTTATAGTCAGGTCTTGGCATGAGATGCAAGCCCATTTCAAACATCTTTCACATTGAATTTCAGCGGGAGGTTCTTTACAAAATTCACATGGAGAGTCTATAATTACCTTGTTAGCTCCCTCACCGTCACCTTTGCCTTTCCTTTTCGTATCTTTTTTCACCTTTACCTTGTTATTTTTGGTTGATTTGCTCGACGAACGGAGAGTTGGCGTGTTTGTTTTTCCACCGGAAGTAGACTCATTTTCGGTAGGTGTATTTTCGGCAGAGTTTTGCGACATTTCTGGTTCCATTTCCGAATCCGATATTCTTTCATCAGGATTATCTGCTTCGTTATCATCTATAGATACAATATTTCCTAATAGATCTATACTACTGTGCCTTATTCTTGGTGTGTCTCTGGATGACATTTTAGTGTCGTAATTTGGCGGGGTTTTCTTTCTTCAAATTTTCACACTTCCAAAGACAGATCCTGGTTTACGTAGGGAAAAAAATCCAACACGTAACGTAAGCACTTTATCGAAAAGATGATTGATTGATTAAAGAGAAAACGGGAAAATAAAATAAAAAATATTGCAAAGGAACATAGAAAATTAATTTGGTTCGATATTATCCAGCAAATCTGGATAATTCGGGAATCTTTCTTCCAAGTTGCAGTAGCCTAGATATAGGCTAATGTTATCCCGTACCAGGACTATAGTCCTGCGAACGTCTTATTCTTTTGCCTGTACGATTACAA